AAATTTTCTATGAATATTTCTGGGACATTCAGACCGGTAAATGTTGTTTGATACTGTTTATTATAAAACAGAGCATTTACTTAAATATTTGTATCTATAAAAAGAATGTATAAACATAAAAATGTCTTAAAATAATTATATGTGTTGTATAGGTTCCAATTAAAAAATATAGTTTTATACAAATTAAAATTAATGTTAATTTTCTTATTTGAATACAAATTTGAGATGTCAAAATATTTTTCACATTCTTATAAGTAAAAGAAAATTGTTGATAAAATATGCAGATTTATAACTTTTATACACTGTACACTTTATTGTTATATTCAAAGATTTATGTATCCTTGTTATGTGTTAACTTTTCCCTTAAAGGTGAATAAAACCCTATTGACTTGCTTTAATTTTGTCATGAAAATGTCTAAAAATCCACAAAATTTAGAAAGATAATATCTGTATGTTGAACGGATACTTGTATTATCTTAGAAAACAGGTAGCACAATATTAAGATATTTTCTATTTATATATTATGCTACATTAACAAAATCCTCTTATTCAAAACAGATAAATACAAATTTTAGTTCAAATCATTATTGGTGTTTCTAAGAATCTCATCTTCAAATGAATTCATGTATAGTAGATTATTCCTTACATTCCTTGCAATGGCTAATTCTGGCTTTCATAGGTGGTATTTAAGAAAAATCATTTTGCCATGAAGAAATTGGAGAGGAAAGTTAAATGTGTTACAAACTGCTAGTAATTATGTACACTACATACACATTAAAATAACAGTCAACCTATATGAATGCCTTTAACACTCCTCTTGACCTGAAAGGAGAAAAACTATCAAAACCCTGTCCACTTGAATTATGAGCTATTAGGCTTCAGTTGTAATTTGTATGTAGATCAAAACCTAATAGTAATTAGCATGATCAAGTTCAAATGCTTATCCACTTTTGGTGCTAGTACTTGGGATGTCAGACAATGGAAGTATGCCAATATTACAGCAACAACTTAACAGCATGATATTAGATAAGAAATTAATACAAAATGTGTGCCTTAAACTTCTACTAAATGTGTTACTGTTAAAAATAGTTAACTTTTAGACTGCTGACAATGGCATTGATATTATCTATAACAATAGTTGTCAGTTACTGTGAGAGATTTTTTAGTAAATATAATAATATTTAATATATAATTGCAGAAAATTTAAAACACTCTGCAGATTTTCACTGAAAAGTTACATTTGGGCAAAATTTAACATTTTAGTATTCCACATATTTTCAGAGCTTACAAATAAAAATTATCTTAATTAATAATAATTACTATGAAAATAGTTAATCTCTAAAAAGCTATTTAAATAAGAAATTTTATATAAAAGTCAATCTCATCTCAGATAAACTACATTTTCTTTTAAATTATTATTGAAGCATGTTATTTTAATATAAATAATATAAAAAATATCACCCAAGATCATTGCAACTAATTTTTATATATTATTATATTTATTATACAGATGTCATAAACATTTACATAAACATTGTTTTTAATACAATTTCATGCCATAAAAATGACTTTTTATTTTACATGAGATAATCCTTTCTAATAAAAAAAATTATTTATACTACATTTGTTGGCTTATTTAACTATTTTTATTTTGAAAACTTAAAATCAAAATTTTTATGAAGGTTTTTATATTTTAACTCTTTATGAAAGATTATAATGAATTTTCTTTCATTTCCTATTTGAGTTTATTTTTAAATAGAACTATAGAAAATCTGTATTCAATTTTGTTTGTCTTTGATTTATAATCGCCGTCTTTAATATTTTATCCCTCATAATACACTCTTCTTACTCTCTCCCCATCCTGATAAATCAGACATTTAATACATTTGATAAGACTGAGCATTTATAAAAAGGATATAAAATAAGTTATTCCTTCACTTAAACTTACCAGTTTAATTTCTCAGATATTTGAGTTTTCCTTCTTCAACCCTACAGCCAAACACTATCCATAAGTACTGTTGTAATCTGTGCTTTTGTAGTATCTTTACCATTTAGCTAGAAACTTCCAGGTTGATGATGTTTAGAAAATAAACCAGTATGAACTAAACATGAAGGATTAAACTATCTAAATGAGCCTTCTTGCAATTACTGTGAACTATTCACCTCAATTTTAACAAAGAAATCAGTAGTTGTTTACTGTTAGTAGTTGATTTGTGACGTCTGGCTACTTTTCTCCTACATTCTATTAAATTATTGTAATTAACAAATCAGTAGTTAGGTAGAATAACTAAAAGCATTTTGAAAAAGTGTTTAAGTTGCCATGAAATAGCTAAATTATTTTTCTCTATATATTCCTCTATTTCACAATGGATGTTAGTATCTTTGAACAATTTTTAATTCTTGCAACATTTTTAAGCTCCAGAAGTAAAATGTTTTATATAAAATAGCTAAAAAAATTTTTTATTAATGGCTAATACAATCTATTTATACTTAGAAATATATTGAAAGACATTCACCAATCAATTTGATTATTAAACAAATTGTTTTGTAGAAAAAAATTAAATACCTACTTAAATGTTTGTAGAATTAAAAATAAATACTGACTTAAATGTTTGCTGAATTCAAAATGTAATAATATTTATTTTCTTTAACACATTTTTTTAAAATTACTAATTTTGTATATGTATTTATAAAATTGCATATAACTTAGAAATTGTCCACTTGAATTTTGAAAAAGTTAACTGTTGGGTTCCCTAAGAAAAGATATTCTAGTTTTAAATATAGGTGGCTATTGCATGCCTATTGAAAGAACAAAGCAATCAAGCATGAAAACAAGTATTTGTTAGGTAGTGTACATGCACAATCACCACTGACAATCAAATACAATATTGCCTTTATTAAATAATTTATATAAAATTGCATGTGTTATGTGTGTAAACATTTTTGTTTAATAATTATGTTCTTAAAAAAGAAAGTAATAATATATTTTAATAATTAGACTTAATAAACATTTTGTGTTCTAGAACGTTGAAAAGAATGTTTGATTTCACCTGAAATTAGTAGTTGGATAATACTATGCTTTTGGATAAGCCTCTACTTTTATGTTGATAACTGATTAGAACAGATAATCTGTTGAGCTACATTTAGAATGAAATAACCAATCTTATCTTGGAAACACAGCCTTATATTTTGTGGTCTTCTCACTGAACTATTCTAATCATTGAATACTGCCTTATTTCCTTCTGTTTAATTATTGCTTTTTGTCTTCTCATACTTTTATCAGCAAGTAGAAAACAAAAACACTTTATTAGTCAACACATTGGTTGCTTGAAAATCATTCCTTGTCTCAGTTCAAGATAGAAGTTAAATATATGTAAAAGAATTTTAGGTCAATCTCTTCCTAAGTTCTAAGGATGTGATGGTGGTGCTTGCTTGAAAGCTTTTGATACACCACTCATATTTAGATACCAATTCTTATTAGAAATTCTACTGTGTTCTCAGATTATTATGGCTCTTTTGTTGCTGTTTATATAAGTAAATGTAGATTGCACCACACTTTTTTGAATCAGGATTAAAAATTTGAACTTGGCAAAGGGTTTAATTCTCTTACTGATCATTTTTCTAAAAAACATTCTTTGTGATATTGATTTTTCTTGTACAAATAAATTATCCTAAAATACAAAATGGTTTTATGCATAGTACCAGACTAGAAAATTAACAAATCCTCACTTTCACTTTTATTAGCATTCTTCAATTATTTTCTAAAACCCCACATGCTAAACAAAAATTATTGCTTCTTTTTTTTCTTTTAGTGTTTAATAACATAATTTTCTCAAGTTTAATGCCCTTTCCAAAGAAAACCAAATTCTGAATAACTTAGAATAATTGGGCATACTGCTTAAGTATCCACTTTAGAAAATGTTCAACTCTGATTATTATATTCATAAAATTTCTATACTAAATTGTTTTTTCATTGTAAACTCAAATTAAGTTATATTATTAAATTATGTAATATTTGCATAGGTTGTGTTTTTTCATGTGCATCTTATATGTTAGCAAATATGGTAATTATATTTAACTAAATGTTGAATATGTGTGTGTAACCTATCATATAATCATCATCAACAAGACATAGGATATTGTTAAAATAGGTTAATGTATAATAATGATAATTCCTTCTCTCAGAAATTAAGATAGAAAACATTGAATATAGTTTTATAAAACAATTACATCTTTTGTTAATTATTTTGATAAAATTTCAAGTGAAATGATTGTTTATCAAGAAAAAAGTTAAAATATGATTTTCTTTGTTTATTTCTCAATCCTTAGTCACATCTTCCTAAACAAAAAAAAAATTATTTCATCAAATTTTGGTAACTGGATTGAGCCAAGAACTTTTCCTTATTGCAGGTTTGAATATTTAATAAATGTTCACCTTTTAGATAACAATTTAATGTATACTACACTTACCTTATGTTATTTATGCTATCTTGTACAAGCAAATACTTTTGCTTGGATTTTTTTTAAAAGATTTTATCTCTCTCTCACATTTATTATCTATTCTGGTTCATATTTTTCTGAAATCTTTACTGAATACCATGTTGCATATATATATATATATATGTCTGTCTAGCCAAACTATACACTTACCACTAAACATTCTTGTTATCACTTATTTTCTATTGTCTAGTACTGTACTGTACTGATGCGGCATTCACCCTGGGTGGATTGTCTAGTAATATATGATGAATAATAAATGATGTTAAATGTTAAAAATTTCTCAGCTCAACCCATTTCCCGAAATCTTAACAAATGTCCAAGCATTTTTCTCCGGCTTCTTGGTTGGGCCAAGAACTCTTTAGCATTCCCCTCCACCTCATATAGTGTATAAGGGTAATAAATAAAATCATTTGAAAACCTGTCATGATAATGAATAATTTTTAAGTTATAGGTAACATTTAAAACACAAAATAAAAAATAAAATTTTGTTTCACTTTCAGGTAGTGAATTCTCGGGTAAGCAGTGCAGGCACCATCAGGTGTGGGTCTACATCAGACATCACTCCGTCCTCCATAGATCGTCAAAGTCGAACAGACCGGCCAAGTTCTTACATAGGATTGAGTAAGTCAACACCATCATTAGAAACAATAGATTATAAAAAAGTAAGTATTTTAGCACAACAAAAAATGTTAAATTTCATACAAGTCAATTAGCAACATATTTACCTGTTTTAAGTGGATTCTGTGGAACTGTGTAAAATATACCCTTCTGTTTACTCTGCAAGAATTTGATAATCATAACAATTTAATCTTCCTTTGGCATGCTATAAAACTTTAATAAACAATCTCCTTTACTCCAAAAAATATATTTTTATCAACACTCTTCAATTCTTATTTATTTTATAAAATGTGATATCCCTTTCACAAGTATTTTCTGTTCTTGAACAGACAGGAAAAAATATATTTTTGTCTTTGCTGATTTATAAGGCATCAGATGAACAGTTTATTTCAATATATCTAAAAGGAAATATGTAATCCATATAGTTATGTATGTGTCAGAAAATGTTCACTGCAATCATTTCACACAGTTACTGCAAATGCCAAGTTTGTGCACAAATCATCTCACCCATTCTTAGCAGTTGAAAGAAAATCTGTATTTAATGTAATTCTGTACCAAATCATTTGGTGGTGAAATGAGATTTGTACCTACTCTCAAAATTACACATTTTGATCATTCTGCATTTCACAGTATATCAATTTTGATATTATGAAGCATACTCGTGTGTGTGTGTGTAAGAGAGATTTCTAACAACAAAAATACTTTTGGGCATTTATGTATATTTATGTAACCCCATTTTATTTAATAAAGATCATGAAATGTCAAATGATTTGTAATTATGGATAAGCAATGCAGTAATTTTTTTCTATTATCAAATAAATCCCTCGGTTTCAATGCAGAAATGTTTTCTGCTACTTTACTCTATATTGGCTCTGAAACAATTTTTGTTTTTGAAAATACAGACAAGAATAAATCTCTTCAATTTGTCAACATCATAAGAGAATTTTTGTTTTCACCTTTTATCTTAGCAAGATTTTCTCTCAATGTTCTTTTTTACAAAAAATTATACATTTGAAAAATTCATATTACAAATGTTTTATGTTCTATAAAATCCACTTATTAAACAATATAGCAAGACAAGAATAACAGTTTTGGTTTGCAATGTGTAAATTGTACAAAACATATTGTTCAAACTTCAATAAATACCAGAAAAATTATTTTTTAAATTGTATTGACAGTTCCAATTATTACTCTATTTACTGTTGTATGGTTTTCTTTATAATTACTAAAGAAAAGGATAAATTTTTAATTTATTACTCTGACAGATTTTTATTACTTAAACATTATTTTTAGTAGCTACTCATATTTTAGTAGATACTCTGTTTATTTATTAAACAGTATATTTATTTTCATCTACCATCCTGATTATTCAAGAAATCTTATTAGAGAAAAATTTGTGTTCTCCAACAGTATTTGAACCTGCATTCGCATCATTACATTTGATATACTTTGGACTTCTTGGTTATGGAGTGCATCAATGACCAAGCAAAGCTGAATAGTGCCTTTAAACACAGATTTTTCTTTGACTCTCGAAATTGACATACCTGCTCAGTTTTGTATCCTAACATAAAGAAAGGGATGAATTTTTATTTATTAATCTGACAGATTTTTATCAATTTAAATATTATTTTTAGTGTCTACTCATATTTGAGTAGACATTCCATTTATTTATTAAATTTTTTTTTCTCTAATAAGTTTTCTTGAATATTTAGGCCAGTAGATGAAAATAAATAGAAAGAAGGAGTCAACCATAATCGGGATCATCAAGTCAATGCAAATGCAGAGTTTTCCTTCTAGACCTGTTGCCACCTAAGGCTATAGAAACCCAGTCTGTCCTGCTATTTACTCATCGTTGGCGGTTGAGGGGGGAGAAGAGATGGATTCATACCCTTTCACAAGGGTATTATCACCCAAGTGAATGTAATGAACTCAACTGGAATTCAAAGTCCACTCTCCACCACAATCCATTACTCTATTGTGCCTCCTTCATGGCTGCATCAGATGAGTGTCAGGAAAAACATAACAAATGAAATTGTGGCTAGCAGTTTCAATCTGAAATCTTACCTGACGTGTGATAATCAACACAGGTCATGTAAAGGATCTGTGTTTGGTCCTCATTCAACTATTCACTCTGTTAATTATACATGCTTCAGCAGTACATATACTAAATTTGAATGATATATAGAAGATAAGCAGGGTTCCAGCACAAGGATGAAATGCAAATCCATGAAGTGTTCCATATTTTTAAAATAAATATATTGTTTAATAAATAAACAAATCATCTACTCAAATACAAGTCTCCACTAAAAAATAATTAAGTAATAAAAAATAATTGCTGCTTCAAATTTTCAATAATTTCAGAAATTTCAAAATACCAGGAACTAGAAACATAAACATCACTAAAATCTAAAACACATTCTACTCAAAGTAAAAAAAAAAAAAAGTTAATAATATCCAACATTCCAATGTATCTTTTATGCTGTATTCTGATCTGTATTTGAAAAAAGTAAATTTATTTTTAAACCTTTTATTTTTGTTCGAGTTGAAAGGATTTTTTTTAAAGAGAATTGCAAAATTTCTATTCAATGCTCAAAATGTCTTGATGTTAACCAGATTTCCTGCAAAAATAGTTATAAAATTACATAAAAATGCAATAAAATAATATTATATTCATTTTTCTTTTAAAGCTTTATGAAAATGAAAAAGAAGACTCTAATAGATTAAAGAAAGAACTAGAACAAATTAAAAAAGATTTTGCAATAACCAGAGCAGAAATGGAGAAGCTTCGAAGGTTACATGAAGATGTTTCAGCAGAGTTAAATCAAGAGAAAAGAGTAAGTAATCTTTCTTCATTTATGATGGTAGAAGTATCTTTAAGTAATGATTCTCCACTTAGTAAACTTTTATAGGTGTCACATTTGTAATTCAGAAAGTTAATATTTAACAATAACAAGTACATGACAACCGTCTATACATATGCAGAGATAAAATACAGTTTATAAATTCTTTGATTTGATGATTTTAATTCACCATAGGTAAGATGTATTCTCAGATTTTTTTTTTTTTACAATAAATTAGCATCCTTCAATTAAATTTCAAAATAATATGAATATTTATATGTGGAGGTGCTGATGTTCTCAGCCTTTTTTTAAATCTAAAAAAATGAAATAAACTTATCTTTAAAACTTTCTTGGTCAGGTGAGAAATTTTTTATTGCCCACTTGTAGCCAATCATGATTCTACTGATTTTTTTTTTTTTCACTGTTTATGAATTCTTAGATTCAAGCTTTTTATATAATATATATATATATATATATATATATATATATATATATATATATATAATCTGTATAATTAAAGATGAAAGGTTGAATTTTTGAAACAAAATTCAAGAATAAAGATGATGATGATTGACATTGAAGAAAAGGAAAACAATAATTTGTTTTGACAAAAAAAAGGGAACCAAAAAAAATAATTAGCATAGAATTTATGGTTACAACTAGCAATTTCAGCAGTGAAATTATGAGACCTAGCTTCCAATCTAGTACTGCACTTAAATTCATGAAGTATAGGTACCAGAATGGGAAGCTCATCAAAAAAATTATATTTATAGAAAAGGCAGAGAGAAAATACATTATAGTGGTAGGAAAGTGATTGAAGAGTTGATGCCAGGCCAGGTTTGATAATGTTGCCAATTCTTTGGATTTTGTCAAGAATCTCTAAGCACATAGTAGAAGCACCAGACTATATGTTGAAGCAATATTTGGTGCACAGGCAAATTGTAAGACTTATAAATGTGCAAGATAGATTCTGGTGAGAAAAATTTTCTTTCTTATTGCAACATTAGTTGAACTGACTTTTCAAAGCAGAACTTAAAAATTGATTCAATATAAGGATTCCACTTCATGTCACTGGAAAATTTGAGACTAAGATGGTGCAGTGAGTTGCTCTCCTGGAAGTTAGCAGTAGGTAGGGCCACACAGATAAAATTTAGCCCTACACAAATATATAAAAGATTATCTCCAAATACATTTTTGTAAAAAAAAAAGGGATAAAAAAAAAAAAATGTTTTTTTTTTTTTTTTTTTTTTTTTCCATGAGATAATTAATGCAATTAGACTTTATTACTTATATTTCTATCAAATAAAATTAATAAAGCAGTTTCAGTTAAAAAAGAACACTCATTTTAAAGAACTTTTATGCTAGATTAGGCAATTTGAACAAAATTATTACATTAATTCCTGAAATAATGTAAAATATTCTCAAACAGACTAGACATCAATTTCAAAAATTTTTTCAAATTTAAAAAATTTTAGGGGAGTCCTCTTTTCTTTCTTTTTACTCTAATAATAAAATTTAATTCCAAGTTTACAAATTTGAAAAGCCTGGGTTTTAAAAAAACACATAACAATCAAATTTGTATATCTTATCAAAATCACTTTCTCATAGTTTTTGTATGCATCATGATTTTATTGCAATATATATGATGCATGGTAAAAATAAATTTAAGAAAATTTCATAACACTGACATAAACTTTGATTGATTTATAAAGTACTGAAAGAAAAAATCAGAAAAAAAGGGCAACTGGAAATTAAATTTTCTGCAACAGAATCTACAGTTGTTGTAAGTATTTGTTTCATTATTACGCATCCTATTTTCTTCTTGTTATGGAAATATATCAGAAGAGTTTTGTCAACATAAGATTATATGCAGGTTTATATGCCTTTTCATATATTTTTCATGAAACTATGATTTAGCTCTTTTGAAATACTTTATTATTGTATTAAACAATTTAAAATTCAATATTGCATAATTAATGTTGATTCTACATTTTATGTATTTAAAAATTTGATTCAACAGGAGAATGAACATTGACAGTTAAACAAAATGATGTACAGATGTTGCATCCATCAATTCCAAGTGTATATGCACATAAAGTACATGCATATATGTTATATACCATACTTATGAACACTAATGGATATGTCCCAATCCTCATAAATACATTGGACACTATTGTGAGGGGGGTAATATGCTGTCTAAGTAGTCCACCACTAGCAGAGGTTTACCTACTTCACGCTGCTGGCAAGTATTGTATTTTGTTGATGTTATAAAGATTAGCATTTCATTTCCAACCTCCATTTTGGTTCTTCTCATTCAGTAACCCTTTTTAGGTTACAACAATATGCACAAAGAAATTCACATCTTCCTTGAAGAACATTTTGAAATATTGTTTTAAGATAATGTATACCATGACTAATTAAGTGGCAATAAAAAAAAAGTCTGTACCAAGAAATATCTGAAGGAAACCAAGATGAATATAATCATTATTGTAGGTCTGCAAGCAAGAATGCATTCCATTCTCATTCACTTACCAAGAAAAATGCCAACAGAGCAATTTTATTCATTATTTCATTATCAGCAGATAAAAACATACACTGATGTCATATAATTCATTATGATAAAATATTCAATTAAGTATGTTACACTTGTCTTGAAATGTATATTTGAAAGCTGAAAACAAATTAATTGAAAATAATAAAAACTGGTGGTAGAGGAAAATCTTTTTGTTTCAGCAATTTACTATTGAAAAAAAAAAGAAAAGGTCTGTAACATATAGTGAGATCATTCAATTTGTTCTTAAATGTCATTAAATATTTGAACTAATATGGTTTCATTATTTTTAATATATTTAATGAAAATTTAAAAATAGCAACACCCTGAATATGTATTTTAATTTACTTGATAAGTACAAGCAATATAATTGGATAGCAGTAAATGCTCAAATATATAGATAAGGAACATCCACTGAATTTTCAATACTTAAGATTTAAAATGAATTTTTAAAAATGAAAAAGCATTCTTGAAGCTTTGTTTTTAGCTTTAATTGAAAGCTAAATGATTAAATTTACTATTTCCAGTGAGCAAAATACTCTGGTGTATTTCAAATATAAATTTTATTGATTAGAATTTCAACTTTTTTGATCGCTTTCAGAAAATTGTTTAAATTTATTTTTTTTTTGACACATTTGTAAACAAAAGTTAATTCTCAGTTTAAAAAAATCTTCCAAAAAATAAAATATACTTTTCTGAAACTTTATTTGAGGAATATTAGCTGATTTAAAGTATAATTAATCTGATTTGAAAAAAAATTATTTACTTTAAGTTTAAAATAACAAAAAAAAAAAAAAAAAACATTAAGTTTTTATTAATTTTATTATCTCTTCACTGTAGATGATTAAAAAAGGTTTGAACATTTATTATTGTTCTAAGGAGACCTTTATTTGTTAAAACAAAATTTAAGAAAATAACAGGCGAATGCTTTTTTTATATAATTTTTAAGTACTCAGTAATCTAAAAAATGTTGAAAAATGTTCTCTGTAATTTAATTTTAGGAATGCTGAATTTAAATTTACTATAGTCATCACTCTTATTTTCTGATTATGTCATTGTGTATGGTCGACCATACTTTCAAAAATACATAAATGTTAAAAAATATTTTTTTAAATAAAAAAAAAATTGCTTTTTTTTTTTTTCTTTTTTTAAAAATCTTTTTAAATGATTTTATTTTCAATTTTTGATTCATAAATATAGTTTTTTTTTATTTAACAATATCACCTAACTAAATTGAAGAATTTTAAAAGATTTTAAATATTATAAATTATTATAATTAAATTAAAAAAAAAGAAAAAATTCTTGTAAAAATTCATTATTCATCAAAATTTTTTTTTCTTAAGAAAATAGTGTCCTTTAATAAATCTTATTTATAAAAACAATTAAAAAACTTTTCTAATTAAATAATGTCATAGTTTTATTGTTTTTTTTATTTTATGATTCAGAGCAGATTTTCAAGAAATGAAAAGTTTTAAAAAAAAAAAAAAAATTGATGATTTACATTCTCAAAAGGAGTCCTTTTTTAATAAAAAATTTTAAAAAAAAATTTAATTTTGAATTTTTTGAAATTTCAAAAAAAAATGAAAAAATTAAAAAATATTTTTACCAAAAGAAAAAAAAAAAAAAAATTTCAAAATAATTTCATTCATTTGTGAATAAGTCCTGAAATTTTCATTAGAATCTGACAATTATTTGATTTTTTTTTTTCCCCAGAATTTCCAAATCAATGTGTTTTTCACTGGAAAAAAAAGCACATAAACACTAATCATAATTATTATGTTTTTATGCCGTAAAAAAAAAAATTTTTTAACCAAAATTTTGAACATGCTAGAAAAGATTAAAAACTTAAAAAAATTAATTAAATACTTTGGTCTTTCCTCTTAATAATAACATAAACATTTTGATGATAAAACTTTGTTTTTATTAAGTTTGGAGCATTTATTCATCATTCTATGCTGTTTTTCAGCAAAAAGTGGAGGTACCTAATATAGATCAATACATGCACAGTTGTCAAAACAAGATGTGTATCAAAAATACATATTAATTTTTTGTATATCCTTTTTGAATGCATTTACATAAAATTGAAAGTTTTTTATTCATATGATTGTACAGATGGTGAATACCAATTGAAAAATACATTATTTTATGCCTTTTGCACTGTTGACAAAGTAATGATTTGTAGATTGAACAGAATTGATAAGTTTGATGACCATGCCAACCAGATTTGTTGTTATACAAAACATATTGTCCAAGCACAGATATCATATGTTTGGGCATTATCATATTGGACCAGCATCTCACATTCCTGTTGTGGGAATGGCAACAGAATTGGTTGAACAATATTCTGGATGTTTGTACTACTGTTCAGGAAAGTGAGAATTGTGCATAACATACAACAGCATAATGTCAGTATGTCATTTGTGGAATTTAAACAGAAAGT